AGGTCTTTCCGAGAAAGAAAAAAAAATTAACAGATCTTTGAGGAGCAGAAAAGTCATGCAAGCAAGATATACATTCGTGCTACAGTTCGTATGGAAAAATAGTTTTGGAAAGAAAAATGTATAACAATTTAATGAAAATTGAATCTCATCATTATAACATTGTGTTTAGTGTAAAAAATAAAATATAACAAATATTTTATTAAATCGAATCTAAAAAAATAAACAAGAGAAAAATATACTTTTCAGCAAAAACATATTCGAATTAAAGATTTCACATCGAATTATACAAAACTATAGTTATATAAATACAAATCAAAGAAAGTTTATAAAATTTCTAAATCATGCAGAAAATATGGCAAACAGCAATTAAATTTTTTATGGCATTTAAGAGAAGAATACGCAATATGACTAACAAAACATAACACATACAGCAATACAGGTGTATAAAAAACAATAACAGGTATATAAAAAAATATATATGCAACATATAGTATATAGAAAAGATATAAAAGCATGCTAATAAAGCTGATGATAATATGTTGCTAAATAACATTTAATTAACATATATATATTGTATCATAAAAATATAAAAATTTATGAAAAAATGTATTTATTGTACATATTTGTGCTTTTTACATACATCTGATATATATATTTATGGTTATCTTTACAGATAGAGAAGCAAGTATTCATAACGAATTAACAGGATAAAATTGTTAAGCATGTGTAAAGCGAATAATGATAATGTATTAAAATGTTTGCATACTTAAATAGAGCAACTGGAGTATTATAATTGCTACGTCGATCTATGCAAAACCCTTTGGTCATTAATGCTAATCACTATCCTTTACCTTCTTTTTCATGAAAAGGACGTCAGTTCCTTACATTGATACAAAATACCTCGCTTTATATATGTAAAAAAAATGAAAAATATTATTATACTATCATAATAGATAAAAAATTCCTATTTCTGGTTAGCAGAAAGTCGTCTTTCTCCAATTTCCTTTTAAGATGCAATGTTACGGAAACAGTGCTGCGAAATGTCGCAAATGTGGCGCAGATGAATTACGTTATTCCGGTATCTACATTAGCTTTCTCTCTCTCTCTCCTCTCTAATTCTGTTTATTATTTTACAGTTTAAATTATATTACTATTATTAATAAGAGTTAGAATCACTGTGTAAAAGGAGAGCTTGGTAACAAAGTCGGTAACAAAGTCGGAAACAAAATTTGTGAAATAAAAAAAAAGCAAATTCTTTTTCTCTAAAAATAACTTATACCAATAATTTCAGCTAATGCATACGATTTATGTTAAAAAAAATTCAAATCTCCTTCGGATACTGGGAATGACGTAATTTCCCCGAAGTGCCGGGGGCATGAGCACGACGTGTACGAAAAAGCATGCATGATGAGTGTGAGTGAATAATAGACCTACGTGCTATTCGATACATAGTAGTAGCCTCTAGTAAAAAGCCCCTTGAAGCCCCCTTTCGCGGATATTGGCGACGAGTAGCGTGGTGTATGACTTTCTTTTTGTCTTTTTGCTCGGGGCCCCGCGCGTACGCGCGTAATTTAGATATAGGCGGTGGTGTAGGTGGCACGTGAAGGTGCTGTTTGGGTTCTGGAAATCAGGGTTCTCGTCGAACAGAGGTCTTTCGGGACGATGGAGCTACCACCGATCACAACGACATCCGGTACGTCGGTGATGGTTCGACTTGTGCGACCATCATTGGGAAAATAATCCTCGTCCTCGTCCGCGGTATCGCAATTGCTCTCGAAGGAACATAGTGGGTCGGTCGAAAGCATGGTGTCCTGGCGCAGATCCTTATCGCTTTCACTGAACAGCCTTCTTAAATTTTCCTTCTTTCGCCGCGGTTTCTTAAAGCTGCCTCGCTGATTGTGAAACCTGCACCGTTTCTGCCAACAATTATGATTATCCGAATAATTGATCAATTTCTCTACTTCGCACGTAACGTCGCTCATTTTTTCCGGCAGATATTTTTGTTCCTCAAGGTCTTTAAATGATATAAAATCTTGTGCTTCATCTTTTTCCATTGATGGCACCTTTGCTTCACATATTTCGAATAGCTGATTGACAGGTTTCTCGGAGATATCAGTCGATAAGTGCTTCGTTCTTTTTTCATCTTCAGCCGTCATCGATGGCTTTACTTTACCATCATTTCTTGTAGTGTCGACGTCATGCGCTTCGTTCTGATCGAAGTTGCTCAATACTGACGTGCCCAGAAATTCGCAAATATGTTCTAACGATTTCATAGTTTTCCATACTTCAACCATATTATTGTTTGTGCATGTTTCGACGGATTTACAGGACAAAGACATTTCTGACGTACTTTCCTTCGTCGGAGACATATCCTCACAGGATACAGGTTCGGAATCGGTCGTAGAATTTTGACATTGATTCGCTATTTCGGAGACGAGTGGAGGAACCGCCACCTCCGCAGAACGGGGACGTAGAACGGAAGAGATGGAGAATGTATGCGATGCGAGTGGAATGGCGGGGAACAGGAAGCGAGTATCGGTAAGAGCGGTACGCACGGGGGTGCTGGTTATACAGGGCGTATCGAAAGTTACAGGCGTGACAGATCTGGATACCGCAAAGTTTACGCACTTTGCTGCGTGGTTCTCGGCCAGGGTCCTGGATGCCCGCGCCTCCTGGAGCTCCCGTCGCAGCGCCAGATTCTCCTCCTCGAAGACTGCGATCTCGCGACCTTCATTGCTAGTGCGAATAGAATTGATTTTTCTTTCCATTTTTTTTTGTCAAGCGAGCATTGACGTTGGTTGCGGGGAACAGCGAACTGATTTAATTGAAGTTGTGGGTATCGTAAATTAATTTTGAGAATCGCATTCGCCAAGAAATGAAGCAAAAAATGGTTGAAATGACATAGTTAAAATAGAACGAGAGAAGATCGTTGTAAATAATAATATGAAATATCTTGATAGGTCATCCAGAAGTGTTGATTCAAATGTTTCATCACTGACGGCTTTCACTTGTCTTCTATTTTAGCCACGTGACTTTACCGTAGAAAGGATTGGATTATTCTGTAGCTATTGTCGGATTTCAATAGACATCGTAGAGTTTGATCTTAAGCAACGCTTAATAATCATACAAAATAATAGATGACATCAAATGTATTACACGCAATTTATTGGACGTATTAATTATTTACTAATTTTGTCATGAATAAACGTATGAGAAAAATTATGCTTGTGCTCCTAGGCGTAGGAATTATGAACAGAAAATAAAATTAATAATTAAAACAACTGTGATAAACCATGGTCGACTACGTAGAAATAATATATAATTGGAATCAGTTTTCCGACAAACTTTATCAGATACACTGGAACACTCTATCATATTTTATCGCGCCTTTTAAATTATACACCGTCCGACAATGTTGAATACAAAACAAATACTAGAACCTAAAGCAAGCTTTTAAATATTTACAAATGCTAAAAAGCTTACTTACGTCGCGCTCAGTTTCAATGCCATCATTTCCTCTTCCAGTTTTGCAACACGTTGATCACTTTCCTCTTTCTCTTTTAAAATCTTCGCCAATTGATTCTGCAACAAATAAAATATAGAAACATTAAGCCAAATAGATAAAAGCTTACAGACAATGAAAAGAAAAACTGTAAAAAAAAGAAAACTGTTGTCATTAGAGCAATTAAAATTTAAACGCAAAAAAATTTTTTTAAATTACATGATATTCATATTTATAAATCTATTAAAATATCATGTCACTCAGTAACTTCTCCTATATTTTAGAGAAATTTTTGAGCAAGGCAAATAAAATCTTATTAATAAGTCCATTCTTTTTTTTTAATTATGATACGTATTTCTTTTTTTTATTACAACTTTATCACTTAAATAGCAATTTTTTATTATGTTATTATGAAAAATAAAACACATATACTTGTTTTGTATTATAAAAATGTATGAACTTGAAGATGGCATAGATGGAACTACAATAATACGAATTATTCTCGATAGAATTAGTCCAACGTTTTCTAAACTATTTTTATAAACTGGTCTTCTTTTTACATTAGCGTAAACTGTGAATGTAATTGAATTTTTTCTTATCTATTTTAACCACTTTATCTCGATGTTTAAAGGTAAACGCAACACGCTGGGAAATGTGTATAAAAAAAAAGGGAAAGAAAGGAGCTAACAACCTTGATCAGCTCTCACGTGCAGCAAAATTTACATGGACGTGGAGAGAGATGGAGGGTCCCGGAGGTTCAATTACGAGATTGCCAATATGCAAGCGACATGGCGGTGGCGGCCATCGCTTTGGCTGATGAGGCTAATGGATGGTTGAAACCTGAGAAGAACGGCAAAGAGGAAAAAGAGGCCAAGGGAGAGGCCCCTGACAGCCACTAAGTGCGCTCCGTCCTTCTCCACCCTTCCCCAATTCCCCCTTCCTTTCTCATCCTTTCGGTCCCAGCCCTGTTCTCTCTCGCCTCTGCAACACTCTGCCCGCTGCGGATGCCCTTATGTGAAACCTAATCACTTTTAGCGCGCGTCACGGATATTTCGTATTATGTCTACATTGCGTTCTCCGGTATCGGCTGACTTTATCAGCCGTCTCTCTACAGTTCAACCTTTTCCTCATCTCCCTTCATCCCCTTCGTTCATAGAATCAAGTCGCGCAAACCTTAATCGGTTGATGCGTTTCTCAAGGATAGATCATGGAGCCAATTTTTGAAAAAAAAACGTTAAAAAAATCTTGCGAGCTCTTTAATTTTAAACATTTAAATAATTTTTTTTTCGATTCAATGATTGTATACATTTAAGTATCGTTTTTTGTATTGACTTTTATACTTTGCTGCTAGTAATGACATGTAATAAAAAAATACACTTTATAATGCGTGATTACAAACGTGGATAGTACAGTTACAATGGAAAAGTATAATTTGTAAATAATGCAACGTTTTTCGTTTTATGTTGTTAAATCGATACGCATATGCGAATGCATGTAATAACGACACATTTGCGTGTTTGTACTAACATATGAAATACTCTAATGCCACAATTACGTATCATCAAAGTCAACACATGCATGGAGAAAAATTAATTTTTCTATATAATTCACATAATATGTGATCGCGACCATTCACGTTTATGATTTTTCTGTTACTAAAATTATTTAATTTAATAATAAAATATAACTTAAAATAAAATAAAAATAGTATAACGTATTTTAATAGAAAAAACTATAGATTTATTATGACTACGTCCATTGTGCATTTTTATAGCAACAAATATCACAATTATAAATTAGAAAAAATATATGAAAAAATTAATGATATATTAATTATATATCAATTATAAAAACAATAAAATAATGTAAAATAATTTAAATAAACTTAATCTATCAAAAACCAAATCTATCAAGAATAGATTCTGCAAAAGTCTATTACAAATTTTGTCAGAAAGATTATAGATTTGATTTTGCATATAAGTTTAATGTTGTTAGTAGAATGATGGTAACAATCCAATAGATATAGTCTGATGTAGATTAATAGCAGAAATAAACATAATCTGCGTTCGACAGATTCTTCTCGATTTCTGCTGCTAATCTACTATCAGAGATTATGTCAGTAGATTCTATCGGCAAAAATACGAAATTAATACGAATACAATTGAGTTTGATTTTCTAGCAATTTCTGATCGCATTTACTGCAAATTCATTGACAGCAAACAGATTACTGAGAAAATCATTAACGGGATAAGTAGAAATACACAAAAGAGCGGAAATAGAATCAATTGTACAGATTTTGCATATATATGATAATCGAGAGAGAAAAAGAGAAGTTGAAAAAAGACTAATAGGTACCACGATCACCTGGCTGTCCTAATCAAATAGAACATAGGAATGTCTGCACAAACATTACATCCATGATCGTGACCCGGAAGAGCGAATGTCGAAAATATTGAAGAGTGCTCATATTACCGTATTTCAATCTCAACCGCATAACGACACGAGTGGCACAAGAAAAAAAGGTTTACTACTTTTGTTTTCTATTCCCATATTCTCATATGCTTATAGCATATATACTTTTTTTAATTTTACTTTTTCAAAGATTTTTTTGTTTACTGTAATTTGTACTGTGTCAAAGATTTTTAATGTACTACATATAAAAAATTCAGGCGAACATAATAAGGTTTGCTCAAAAAAGATTAAAAATAATATTTAGTATTTTGTATAAAAATAATCTCAAAATTTTTTTTTACTTAAACTATAATATTTTATATATTATTTTACTATCTTACTATTTATTATATTATAAAAATATAAAAGCTTTTTTATATATTTTTATGTTTTGTTTGTATATATGATTAATAAGATTCGAGATAAAATAACAAATATTTTTAATAAATATATATAAAATAACATTATTTAATAAATGTACATAACTATCAAATAGAGTTCAATTAAAACATAACTATTTCTTATTTCCAGTTCTGTATTCAAAGATGAAGGATATATTACTAAATTTGAGAAAATAATTTTAATATCAAATTATCACAATTAAACATGTTTAAAAAAACAATTATTATATAAAATAGTATATAAAATTATATATAAAGAACATATTACTATGAAGAATGTTATAATATGAAGAACATATTAAATTAAGAAATTCTATTTACATACCTTCAGCTCGTTCACTTCTTTTGCTTGTTGATTACATTTCTCTTCCAACATAGATTTAACTGTTGTAACTAAACCTTCTTCACAATTCCTGTTAGCTTCTCTGATTTCACGTATAAGTTCTGAAATAATATAATTTCATCAGAATAATGATCGTCTCATATAAGATGTGAAATTAATAACAAAAATTATAAATTTTAGAATTATCTACCTGATAACATTCCAGGTTGATAATCCGCAGGAGTACTATGTCTACATTGTGCCAATTTTGCTTTTACATTCTCTACATTCGACTTAGCTTCACTAAGTTCTTTAAACAGTTGGTTGTTACATTTTTTTAGCTCTGTCATCTGCAACATAATATTTGAAAGAGATCTTAATAATTTGAAAACGATATTAAACACACATTAAACAATTAAATACATTTTGTATATTTCAAGTATATTAACAACGATCCTACAAATAGTCATGTCAATAATAGAACACGTTTAATTATATATTATATTTGCCTATATATTTTTAAATAAAAAACAAATAAATACAAACCTGTTCAATAAGTGACAAGACAAGTTTATTATTACGGCTAATTGTTGTTATGGAACTTCCACTCTCAACACTATCGGAATCATCACTGTCTGAGTGAGTCGAAGGCCCAGCAGGTCCTAATCCTGGATCAGAGTATCTTCTGTGTTCCGAATTGAGTTCGTCGCCATTGACGCCATTATCTTTGTTAGCGGTAGGTGGTAGACTGGCATAATCTCCATTTCGAAGAGCCATATGTACAGCAGATTCCAAAACTCCATTTTCTTGCAGATTCCCATAACCATTAACAACACTATTGGCATTGGGACGAACATTCGCCAAGTGCTTGTTATAGTGATGCCTTTGTCTACTGTGGACGGTTCTAATGTTTGGCACCGGCATCGGCTGATACATTCTGTACATTGTAGGTAGTGAAACCGGCTGCATGGCGTATGTCATAGGCATCGGTGAGTAGCCGCAGACGCTCGGATCCGACATCGCGGTGAATAGACGTTGTCCATTACCCGATACGTTCTGTACGTCTGTCGGTTGCCACAGCATCTGCCTTGGAGGATACTCCATACCAGGTACCAGGCCACCATCCTGATTACTCTGTGAAGTGTTCGGCCATGTATCCTGTATTGTGTCCAGCAGATTGCTCCTACGGCTGGATCGTCTCTTATTCTTCCTCGAGTGATTCGACGGAATCTGACGCGGCGGTCTCAATGGGTTCGACAACCTGCGCGTTAATCGTCTTGTTTACACCAAAACATAACCCCTCGAATGAGCGACAAAATCGTGACTCACCTCTGCTCCATCCCGACGGACGATTCGATCCGCATCAAGAGGTCCTGGTTCCTCGCAAGAGCGCGCGCAACATCCGCGAAACGGGGACGTTAGGCGAGTCGATCTGATGATCCAGTTCTTGGCTATAATGGCACGTCGTCGTGAGATATTCCCTAAGCGGCCCGAGCAGAGGCCTGAGGTTCCGACACGATATGATAGGTCGTGCAACCTTCGCACTATTTTTGACAAATCACGCGCAAGATATTTTATCCGAACTTATCGATGATCATCGTAATGTAACAGGGGGTTGAAAAAAAAAGAACAATTTTGTTAAAAAATGAAATAAGATCGTCTATCCACGACTAACGTCTATCCACATTCACGCATGCTGCGGACGCTACGTCCTGCGGTGGTGACGACGACAGCGGACAGGAGACGATTTCACTGTTTCACTGATTTTACGAAAGGTGACAGGTGACTATCGATAACAACGATTATCAAACTCGGAATATCTTCGGTCGGTAACGTGACGTCCGATAGCAGCCGACAGCTGCTTCACGTGCGATGATCTATGCGACAACTTCGGAAAGCGAGTGTCAAAGAGAGAAGAAGATATAATATAACCTCAAAGTGAGAAATGGCAACCGCTGGGAGACAGATGGAAAATGAAAAGAACAAGCCGATATTTTGCGAGTTATCTGTTAATGATCTGGAACCGGAAATTACAGAGATTGAGAGTCTGTGTGTGGAATGTGGCAAAAACGTGAGCAAATCCTACGTTAATCTTAGAACTTCTTGTTAAGGCCCAGTTTCACTAATGTAAAGTTAACTTTACTCTGGGTTTAACTTACTCTTTATCTTTTCCTAATTTTAAAAATAAAAGTTAGAAAAGTTAGTAAGAGTAAAAGTTAGAAAAAGATAAAGAGTAAATTGAATCGAGATTAAAATTAGTCTTACGTTGATGGAACAGGCCTAATGTACATTTCTGTTAATGTAGATTAACTTTAAAAGTTTAACTTATTCTTCATTTTTTTTCTAATTCTTAGAACTATAAAAACATGAGTTAGTTGAATCGGGATTAAAATTAAACTACATTAGTAAAAACTAACATAAGCCAGGTATGTCTATAGACAAATACTGAACGCGAAAGTTTATTGTAGGGTTGTTTCATTTTATGTAAAATATGACAATCTACACACACACACACACACACACACACACACAATGTAAACCATGTAAATTATGTTTTACCTTTCATCTATGTAAACAATCTAGGGATCATCAAAGCCTATGTTCTTTGTTGTTGCACCAGACTGCACTAAGATCTGGTTCTACCAAGCTTAATTTTAATCTCTGTTCAATTTACTCTTTATCTATATCTTATATATATTCTAAGAATTATGTCCACTTCTACCAAGGTAGATTTTAAATCTTACTCTTTATCTTTTTTTTAGTTCTTTAGAACTAGAAAAAGACAAAAAATAAAAGTTAAACTAACAATAAAATTAAACTCAATCTATATTGGTCAAAGCAGACATTAGAAAAAGATAAACAGTAAGTTAAATCAATGTTAAAGTTAATCTTATATTGGTGAAACCTACCTTATCTAAAGCCCTCTATCTTGCCTCTATAAGTTTTTATTTACTGAAGTCAATATTAAAGTTAAGATATATTAACAATCATAAAATTTAATTACTTTTTTTTATATTATATTATCCTTTGTATAATATTTTACATTACTTGTATTGTCTACGTAAAAGAGAT